TCCCCCCAAGCTCCTGAAAAGAAGGGGCTACAAGAAATTAATCCTGAGTCCACCCTACTGAAACCAGAGGAAAGAGATGATGCTGGTGGTGGGAGAACCCTTCCCCACCTCACAAAGAGGGACCTGGGGTAGCCAGGTGAGATTTACATAAATGTGAGAAATGCAGTCTTCCACATGTTTCTCAGTGTGGCCTTTATCATGCTCTGGCCTCTGTTCCTGAATGATGAGAGATGACACTTCCTCAGATGGGGCTGATTCTTAAGGTTAATTGAAAGTGGCCTTTCTTATGAATCATCCATTGCACTGAATTATTTATCGTCTGCAGGCATTTACAGGCCTTTAAATGCTTGAACTTCCTGAAATGCTATTTGGAAATGCTTTTGCCAATGGAAATGTGACTTCCTTTTGGCCATGGAAAAGAAATATTAGCTGCCGTCTCCAGTAAGCAGTAAGATCTGAAAACAGGAAGCAAGGCCAGGGCTGCACCAGACCAGGGAGCCATTCTGATATGAGAGTTGGCTCCAGGCCAGCCTGGTCTCCGGGCTCCCATTGGACAGTGGAAGGAGGGAATACTGACCACAGTGCCTGTGGCTCTTGGTTTAGTTCATGGTCATCTACCTAAGAAATGGTCTCCTGGGGCCTTGTGCAGGTCCTTCAGCTGGTCTCTCAGTGGAAAAGAAAGAATGAGGGGGGCCGAGCGTCATGTCCAGCTCTACCACTTACTGGGTGGGCCATGGAACCTTTTTTGATTCGGTTTCTTCATCTGAGATGATGGTTCAGATCCTACAGGGCTGATATGAGGCAGGGATTGATGGGATCATGTACAATGAGCCTGCATCATGATGTCCAGAGCATAAGGAGGAGCAAGAAAGGTGAATTCCTTCTTGCCACCTGCTCTCATCTTCCAATAGAGGAAGAAAGACTCAAAACTCAGCGGGCTGGCTGGATGTGTAAGGTGCTTGCAGACAGAGCTAGCAATGTGAGTACAAAACCCTACAGCTGATCTTCAGAGCCAGGCTGAAGAGTTCCTGTCTGGCCCCAAAGCTTGGGCTCAGAATGTGTATGATGTATGGACAGTGGGGCAGAAGTCAGGGGGCAGTTCATCCTAAGGACATAAGCCCTTTATCCACTATTCAGCACAGCTTTGGCCCCAGAAGCAGATATTGGGGATGCCGAGCTGAATAAGACATGGCCTCTGCCTTTCTGAAGGTCCTAGTCTACTGGAGAGAGTGAGGAGCACCCACTTTCCCACCCCACACCCAGAACAACCAGGTACAGCTCAGGCCCAGGCGGGGCAGCTGGGCGTTGGGGGGAATAGTCATGATAGCTGAAGGGTTACATGTTAGCTGCCTAGTCTCAGCTTTGAAGTTCACTGAGAGCTCCAGGAAGCAAGAGGAGGGAGAATGTAAAGTCACCCTCCCAGAGGGTTGTATGGACACTGTAGTCAGCACAATAATGGCTCCAAAGACATCTGTCTATGTCCTAATTTCTGGAACCTGGGATTAGGCTACCTTACATGGCAAAAGGACTTTGCAGATATGATTAAGTTAAGGATCTTGAGATGGGGAGACTATCTGAGTGGGCCCCATATAATCACAAAAGTCTTTATAAGAGGGTGGCAAAAAAAGTTAATGTGAAGATGACAGGGAGTCAGAGAGATTAGACAATGCTGCTGCTGGCTTTGAAGATGTATGCAGAAAGACCCTAGAAGGTGGGAAAGGCTACAGAATGTATTCTCCCCCAATCACCAGAAGGAATGCAGGCCTGCACACCCCTTTCAGTGTTCTTCCCTCCAGAAAAGAAAGATAATAAATTTGTATTTTTAACCATAGAATTTGTGGTAATTTGTTATAGCAGCAACAGGAAACCAATACAGACATCCAACCCAGACGTGAGGGGAAAGATGGGGAAGTTTTACGGAGGGCTCAGGCCCCATTTCCTGGGATACTACCCACATCACCAGCCCAGTGGAAACAGAGGTGAGGGACCCTAGTTCTCTAGACACTCCAGCTGACACGACTGGGTCCTCTGAGAGAAGCTTTGTAGGCAAAAGGGTGGGTGAAGGAAATATCCTGTCCACAAGACATGAGCTGTACCTGGCTGCTCTGGGTGTGGGGATCCTAGCATGGTGCGGGAATGGAGCAATGGGAGAGGCTCCACTCCTCTGGGATAGCTGCAAGGTAAAGAGGAGCAGATCCCGCCTTCTCACCACTTCATACCCATCCAGACCCCAGAAAGAGAGTGGTCATGCTTGCTCTGCACCCTGGCACCCAAAGGCTCCCAGACCCCACCACTGTATGAAGGGGACCCCAGTTCACCACCCACCCTGCCACACGTTCAGGCAAGGTGGAGCTTCACACACATTGACAGCCTGGCCTACTCTCCCTCTTGTCCACCCCACCTCCTCCATCCAATGACAAGCACAGGCACCACACGGTAGGAGTGTGCAAGCTGGATCTTTGGACACAACCTTCAAGGCTGTAAAACAAGATCAACCCTCCCCCCCATCACGTATTCCTTTCATCCCCACTTACAGATGCCTTGAGATTTCAGATGATCTCAACAGAGTCCTTCACAGGGACGCTGTCCAGGCACCACGAGGATGCACATACCCTGATAGGGCGCATGACTTGTGAGAGCTGGCAGAGGACCAGAAGGGCCCTTGCCTGAGCCGCTACTTCAAGGCGGCCTCCACCAGCCTCGATGGGCACAGCCCCTGCGGTCTGATAAGAATCACGATAATAATAGGGGCTGCGGGTTCAGAGGAGATCCAGGCGATGCCACCCTTGGTCTAACACTCACTATAATAGGGTTGGCAGGCCAGCCACTGTCTTAAGTGTTCCTTACATCTGAAGAAGGGCCCAGTCGAGACCCTCATAGTAAAGGTCTTACAGCATCCATGGCCTCACCTATCCTTACCCTAAAGCTTAACAATAGATTGTCCCCTGCAGCTTGACCCAGAGCTTGTAACATTTCCTGCCATAGAAAGTTGCCCCGGAACTCATGATTAATGCCCTTATGCTTACTGATCATAATCTTTATGGTCTAGCATTCTGTCCAGACTACTCTCATCTTTGTTCTGGGTTGCTAATACCCCTGTGGGACTACATTGCCAGAGGGAAGGCTTAGTGAAGCATAACAGACCCCTGGAACCATCATGAAGCCTCTGGAATAACGCCCAGATTTCTCCTTAAATACCCTAAGCTAGACTGAGAAAGTAAGGCAGCTCTGAAGGTGTTAACCTGCTGCCTTCTCAGATCACCGGTACTCTGAAAATAAACGCTTATTCTAAATATCCCAACTCCTGCATGAGTCTGTTTGCTGAGCAGCGCAGGCAGCCGGAGCCCCGGACTCAGTTGCCCTCGGGTTACACATATAGTAACCTTAGAGGGCGTAGTCTTATTAGTCCATGGATGCTGTAAGACCTTTACTAGTCCAATTGAAAAAAGTGAGCCTAGAGTACTGAAGTAAATTGTCCCAAGTAGCACACAGCAGGAGCGTGGAGAGCTGCTTTAGAATCTAGATGGTGGGGCTGGAGAATCTGCACTCTGCCCGCCTCATTATTTTGCCTACTAAGGTGGCGAAAGAAAACACTTAAGAGCCATATGGCCCGCGAGGCTGACGGGCAGGCTTCATGGGGCCCGGGATAGGGTAGGGGACTACGCCCTGGGATTTGGGAGGCTCCCTGGAGCAGGGGTCACAGCCGGTCCTGGAGCCCGCAGCTTCACCCGCAGAGGAGCTTCAGCAGGTGAGGCGCATCCTTAGATGGGTGCGTGCCCAGGTAGCCCTCTATCAGACGCGGGCGGAGAACGCTCCGGTTCTGCCCTCCTGAAAGGGGTGGCCATAGCACCGCACCCCGCCCCTCCCGCAGCCGCAGGGAGTCCAAGGCGCCCGCCCCGCTCGGAGCCCTGTGGTTTCCGGGAGCGCCCGCTCTGCTCCGCGTCCCTCCTGGGCTAAGGCCGGAACCAGGGCGGGGAGGAGCTGTGCCCTCCCGGCGCTGGATCTGTTCTTCCGCTGTCCACAGCCTTAGGGCCAGAGTGCGACGAAGGATAGGCGCCCCCGCGCCTGCCTTCGGCCCCGCGCCGCGCTTTAATACTCAGCCCTAAGGCAGCGGTGGAAGGCGCGGAGACGCGGGAGACTGAGCCCCCGGCCGCGCCCCGACGGCCAGCCGGAGCAGCCCTATGGCCGGTAAGTGCCCTCGCCTCCCCACCTTCGCTCCAGCACTGCGCCCAGCCTCTTGGCTACTATCCTGAGCTCCGCCGGCATCCGCTGGGGCGTAGCCCGGGCACTGGCAGCTCCCGGCTCCTAGAGGGACGCGCTGAGTGGAATGGAGAGGAAAGCCAGCTCCTCGCAGACGCTTACGGATCAGGAGATGTGGGGTCTCGCCATGTCATCACCCCACCAGGTCCAGAGCCCAGAAGCCCCAACCCCGCACATGACCCAAGGAGGCCCTTTCTTTGCCCAGATTTGGCAGCGGGCAGATGCCTGGTACCCAGCCTCTGAGCACTCAGCGGGCGCTGGGTAGAGCCTCCCAGCTTTCCGCAAATGTGGGGGTTAGGTGCCAGCAGCAAAGGGTCTGTGTGTCTGTTGCTCACACCTGCCGCCCCTATCCTTGTCCACAGCGCCTCCCACCGACTCCCCTAAGTGGCTCACCTTAGTAGAGGGTTGAGGAAAGGCCTGGGTTTTAGAGAAAGTTGCAGAATTCAAAAATGAGTCCAGCCTGTCAGCAGGTTCCACGATTCCAAAGAATAGGATTCTGAATGCCACCCAGGGCATCATCCCTTCCTGTGCTTTCCCGAAGTGTGTAGTGCCCACACCTAGCTCACTCACAAGCCTGAAGAGGAGCCCAGGGAAAATGGAGGTTCCGATAAGAGAAGGTTTAATTTCTACTCAGAAGCGCAAGGAAATGGCTCATTTCAGCCAGAATCCCAAGTGCAGGGCCAGCTTCTTCCCAAGGGAAACCAGAGGGTGCTGTCCAAGGCAATAGGATCCCAAGGGAAATGGCTTTTCAGATGATACCCAGCAGAGCCCAGCCAGCAGCCTCCTCTCCAGCAGACCCAAGAAGTCTGCTTCTGTGTCGCTCCTGGGGTCCAACTCAGGGAGGGGGGTTGCTGCCCAAATTCTGCCCCCAGCTGGCCACTTGTGTGAAGGAGAGTGACTTTTCCCAGGCATCACAGTCCTGGTGGTCTCCGCTCCCAGAGCAGGTGGCCCTGGTGATCGGGGGCACTCTTGGGGGGCTGCTACTGCTGCTGCTGTTGATTTGGGTGAGCTGCTGTCTCTGGAAGAGGCTTTGTGCCAAGTTCACCTATGAGGAGCTGCCGGGGACAACAGCTGCCTCCAGCCTACAGGAGGACAAGCTCTGCCGGCTGCATGCTGGGACTCAGACAAGCAGGTGAGGCAGGATGTGGGGCCCAGCGAGCTCCTGGCCTTGCTTAGGGCCCTCCCTGTGGCATTTCCCTTGATGTGGGGCGGGAAGGAAAGGTTTGTTTATGAAGTGCAGACTCTGTGCTGTCACCAGGCTGGAAGTTATCACATAGAAACCCTAGAATCCTCGCCAGAGCCATGAGACAAGCATTATGAAGCACATTGTCCAGCTGAAGAAAGTGAGGCTCAGAGGACATAAGTAGTAAGTGGGAAAACAGGCATTCAGACCCAGGCAGGCTGACTCCAGAGGCTGTGCTTCTTCTTCAATTAGCCATTGCTATGGGCGCACAGAGGTGTTGGCTCTGGTTATGTGAGTATGGGGGGCGGGGGGGCAGTGCAGTGGCCTGGTATAGGGCCAGAAAATGGTGCTCTTGTCTCCTCCTCTTTCTTCCTCCAACCCCTGGCACTCGACACCTCTGAGCTGAGCTTTCTGAGGCCACACCATTCACTTGCCACCTGTATGTTGTCTCTTTGCCTCTGGACAGGCCACCAGGTGTGCCATTTGTGGTGCCCCCTTCCTTCCAAAGCCGAGACTGGGTGCCCCTGCACAGCAGAGAGTGGGCCCAGGCACCACCAGACCCCTGCCTAGCTCCAAAGCTCCAGCCCCATTCCACTGGCAGCAACCGTGGTGAGTGTGCCTGCCAGGGCCTGCCCAAGGGTCAGGGTCTACTCAGGGCAGGGCAGATCAATCTGCTTTCATGAGCCTGGCTCCAGAACACAGCTTGGATGGGCCCAGGGATGCCAGAGTTGGTCAGTGTTCAGTCTTTCCAAGTACTTCAGTTTACCAAGTGCCTGCGGCACCCCAGCCCAGGCCAGATATGGCCTCATGTACCATTCTGGAGTTAGACTTCACCATGCCTCTTTTGGTAGAGGGACTGTCTCCCAATTTTACAATTTATAAACTGAGGTTCAGAAGGTTAACTATGCCTTGCCCAAGGTCACAAAGGCAGTAAACAACAGAACCTGTGCTGAATCCTTTTCCAAGATCAGGAGGTGGCTGATCCAGAGGGCAGAATGGTAGGAAGTGGGTGCATAGCTTTCTGCTCACCTCTTTATTCTGAAGGCCTTTCAAGAGACCTTCCCAGGAACTACCAAGTTTCTAGCTTGGCCTTTCTCATTTGAAGAGGAAGAAAAGAGGCAACATTTTATCACTGAGATACCACAAAAAGTGGCCAGACCAGGTGCTGGGCTCTGTGACCCCAAAGCAGGCCCTGACCTCTGGGTACGGGGATTGATCACAGAAGATGGGAGTTGAGTAAATACTGTGGCCTCTGCTAGGGGCCCCAGGGAAAAGCAGCCCTGGATGTACAATGCCTTAGTGCTGAGAAGGCCTCCTGGAGGAACTAAAGTAGAGAGAGGGACTGTGTTTAGACTGCAGAGGAAAGTTGGGGTGGATGTGGTCAGAAGAAGCAAGAAGCCACAGGAGAGGCCTAGTTGAGGCATAGCCAAGAAGTGATTGGCCAGGAGAGAGGCAGCGAAGCCCAGAGCTTGCTTGTCCCCCAGGCCCCTGTCTTCCGCTGGCCTGCCAGACCTCCCAGCCCCTGTATTGCAGGAGATGCCTGCGTGGTGGGGACCATCAACCCAGAGCTGTACAAGTTCCCAGAGGACAAGAGTGAGACCGACTTCCCTGAGGGCTGCCTGGGGCGACTGTGGTTCTCCGTGGAATACCAGCAGGAGGCCGAGCGGCTGTTGGTGGGCCTGATCAAGGCGCAGCACCTACAAGGCCCCTCGGAGACCTGCAGCCCCCTGGTGAAGCTCCACCTGCTGCCCGATGAGCGGCGCTTCCTCCAGTCTAAGACTAAACGCAAAACCGCCAACCCTCAGTTTGATGAGCACTTTATCTTCCAGGTACAGCCTCTGGAGCAGGCAGGGTCTGGGCAAGAGTAGGCATTATGCAAGAGAGCCACAGCCTCCTGTGCTAGCCAAGGTCCTGCAGCCTCCAGAATCCCCAGGCCTCAAGTCAGGGCCTAGAAGAGCCCTGAACTCTGATGGCATGGGGAAAGGAGAGACTTGGAGGATAAGAGAGCAGAGGGCTGGGCTCCTCCTGTCCAGGATGTCTGGAGGAGAGAAAAAGAAAACACATTATTGAAGTGCCTACTGAATGCCAGTTTCTGGTCCATGGGGCATAGAAAAAGAACCCCAAAGCCCTGGAGCACTATGGGGTTTATGGCAAGGTTATACAAGGAATTCAGAGGGTAAAACCCCCAGGCCCCTTGAAATGAGGTCAGGAACTCACCTATCCTGTCAGAGGCCAGCACAGGACCCGAGAGCCATCCTAGGCAGGTGGTACATTCGCTGCACGGTGGACCAGTTGGCATAGGGTCTGGAGGTATAAAAGCTATTGGGACACTGAGCCAAGCTCACAGTGGCCTGGGAGCCTCAGCAGGTGACTGAGGTTCTTATGGGAAACTAACCATCAAGAGCTGCTGAGAGGCCTTGGACAAACATTCTTAAGAGCTGAGCAGCAGGCTGGCTGGCAAGGTAAGGAGAGGTGGTCAGCATTCAGGAAGAGGCAAGAGCCCCAGTTCTTGCCTTCTTCCGGGGAAGAGAGCCGAGAAGAGGAGTGGCATGGGGCCCAGACGCCAGCTGTCCTGCTGGGTACAAGGCTATGAGAATTCACAGGTGAACCTGTTCTTGTCAGGACATCAAGACCAAGTTGTACGGGCTGGCTGACCAGCATGGCCATGTGTCACGCCCTCATACTTATCTTTCTTTACCCTACCCTGACCCACTATTAACTTGATCCTGGCCTCTCTGTGCTTTAAAGAGAAAGGGGAAGAAATACAGGAAGAGAAGAAAATCAATATTAATTGGTCATTGGCTATAGGTCAGACACTGTGATTATCCCAGTGAATAAGAACCATTATCCCATTTCACAGGTGAGGAGACTGAATCTCAGGGAGAACGGAATTGTGGTGCCCAACTCAGATAGCAGAGATGGGCAGGTTCCCTGGGCTCCAGTGGGAGACCTCTCACAGTTCTATGTGCAGGCAAATCATTGGGAGATCCTGTGAAACAGCAGATTCCACTTCATGGGTCTGGAGAAGGGCCCAAGGACCCATATTTATGACAAGGTCCAGAGGGTGGTGGATTGTACCGATCCTCAGAGCACATTCTGCGTGGTGAGGCTCTGGCACACATTCCTACCTCCTGGGGGTACTGGTCCTGCTGCTATGAAGGGTGCCCAAAATGGCTGAGTTTGGGATATACAGGTCTTTGGTTGTGACACCCCTCACCAAAAGCTCCTGTGTCCAGAACAATGTGCCACACTATCCCATCTCTTGTCCCCACTCCTGACCCCAGCCCAGCCTTCATCTCCCCCAGGTGTCCGGCAAGAGCATCACTCAGAGGGTGCTGAGGTTCTCGGTGTACCATGTGGACAGGCAAAGGAAGCACCAGCTCCTGGGCCAGGTGCTGTTCCCCCTGAAGAACGAGACCCTGGCAGGCGACTGCCGGCATATTATCTGGAGAGACCTGGAGGCTGAGAACCTGGAGGTAAAGGCCAAAGTTACCAAACATATGCAACTGCATGTCAGACTATCATGGGCAATCAGCAGGTGTGGCCCAGCACCTATTGGCCAGCTTTAGCCCTCAGCATACTGCCCACCACCCCTGCTCAGGGTGGTGGGCCTGGGTGGAGCTGCATGAGATAAAAGGGGTGTGTGAGATCACTCCTGGGCAAGGAGGGGCCACCTGAGATTCTTTTGCCCTGGAGGTCAGATTACCTGGAGCAACTTGAAAAATCCATGTTTGGATGCCCATCCAGATTAGACAGCTGTAAAAGGCAACATCCCAAATGGACCACCAGGGAAAATATTTACCTGCCTTCCCCCAGCTCACAAGAAAGACTATTCTGTGGCTCAGAATAGTTTGGCATTCCCCAGACCTGGGTTTGAATCTTCAACTCTGGTCCTCACTATTGTATGATCTTCAGTACCTTAGTGTCAACTCTCTAGACCGTAGTTTCTCCGTCTATAAAATGGCAGGTGGGCTTAAAGGAGGGAATGTGAGTATGTCATGTAGTACTCCATGCCTGACCACTGTGAGAAAGGAGGAAGACACTAGGGCTCCTCCAGCACCTGCCAGCATGACAGCGTGCCTTCCCCTTGGCCTTTCCAGCCTCCCTCAGAATTTGGCGACCTCCAATTCTGCCTCAGCTACAATGACTGCCTGAGCCGTCTGACAGTGGTCGTGCTACGAGCCAAGGGCCTCCAGCTCCAGGAAGACAGGAGTTTTGTCAGTAAGTTTTCCTCTTCAGGGCAGATCCAGCCCTGTGAGCTTGGGACCTAGGGCTAGAGTCTGACCCTCACCCCTGGCCATCCAGTTTCTGCTTGCCTACTGCCTATCACAGAACGCTATCTCCTGAGGTGCACCCGCCCTCTGTGGACATTGTGGTATGAGAAGGAGCTTCCTGATGTCAAATCCAATGCTACATTCCCTTGACCACCACCAAGACCTCCAAGGCCCCTGAGACCAAGTCAATCCCTCACTTTTCCCTTGAACTGTGCTGCCACCTCCAGCCCTCCCTTCTGTGAATGGATCCAGTTCCTCCAGGGAGAGGTCCGGTGTGTCCTTGCCCCCCCAGGACGGCTCCACTGCACACAGGCATGACCCTCTGCTGGAAGAAGGTTGGCAGGCCACGTGATGCTCTGCTTCCTCCAACTTCCCAGACCCAGGAGCTGGAGGAGTAGAGGCTCTACACTGGCTCACCCGACGTTTCTTGCCCCTATGTGGACCTCTAGCAAGGTGGTGGTTGTCTGCCACCTGTGTTTCTCCACATCCGAGTCACTATAAGCAAACTGGCATTCAACCTTCTGCTGTGGATCCAAAACTCATCTAAGCCCCATCCCCCAAAACTTTGCCCTCTGAAGGACAAGGTGTTTAAGGAATCCCAGAAGGCCTGAGCACCCACAGTCAGTGCTTCCGTCCGCCACCACTGCCCTAATGGGGAGGGATGGGTGTGTGGTACCAGGCTCTGGTAAACAAGGGCTAGCCAAGCCGTAGGTGGTTCAGGAGGCAGAGAGGAAGGAAGAGGATGGGAGCTGAGTGTTTCCTCAGCCCTAAGGCAGTACACTAATCAACCATGTTTCCTCTTATAACGCCCTTGGCTGCAGAGGCTGTGAGTAATGGGGTACTGATGTCTGGGTGGGCATGTGCCCCCCCCCGAGCCAGACCACCTACTGGCTGGAGGCTGGGCTCCTACCTGCCTCTCCTAGCCCAGTCTGCACTGCCCCTCAGGTGTGTTTGTCAAAGTGTCCCTGATGAATCACAACAAGTTTGTCAAGTGCAAGAAGACTTCGGCTGTGCTGGGCTCTGCCAACCCCGTGTACAGCGAAACCTTCAGCTTCAAGGCTGACCCCACTGAGTTGGACACTGCCAGCCTCAGCCTGACAGTGCTGCAGAGCACCGAAGGAGACAGTAAGTCCTGCCCAAGAACACAGAGCTGGCTAGTGCGAGAGCCAGAATTCACATCTAGCTTTATTCCAGTGACTTTCTGTGGCACCCTAGAAAGAGGGTGGCCTCTACCACCCCCTCTGGGACAAATCACCAGAGGTTAGAGGCAGCATGGCCAAGTGACCTGATGCCATGTGTCACTGTAACCCCTGCATTGCTTCATGCCTCCAGACTAGCCTTTGGGTCCTGGGTGAGGTTCAGGGTGGATAACTGAGTGGAGTTATCCCAGCCAGTTCTCCCACACTGCCTCATAACCCAATGTCCACTGTCACTGTCTTGGGAAGCAGAGATGGCTAGTCTCTATTGCGACAGTTGGTGGGTGAAATTTCTGTTGAATGTTCCCCATGAATGTATAGGTGGGCTGATGGAAGAGGGCTTCTTTCTGGAGGGGCCCCTTCTTCCATCAGCTCTTTGACATGAGACAGGCTTAAGACAGCCCACCAGGAGGGTGAGGGACAGAATGAGTTCCCCCAAATGGCAGGCTCTCCACCTGGGCTTCCTTCCCTGCCATCTCCAGCTCCAGAGCAAAGTCAGGACCTCTTTGGAGGCTGTTAGCTCTGTGCTTAAATAGAGAGGGACTGGCTACTCCCTTGGAGGGTAAGAATAAATTAGAGAGAGAAGGAGAAAGGGTTGGGGGGTTGGGGATGCCTGAGATAATATGGCTTCTGTGCTCCAGAGACTAACAGTGCTTTTCCTCCCCTGCAGAGACCCACCAGCTGGGCCGAGTGGTGGTGGGCCCCTACATGTACGCCCGTGGCAAAGAGCTAGAGCACTGGGATGAGATGCTCAGCAAGCCGAAGGAACTGGTGAAGCGCTGGCATGCACTTTGCCGCACCACTGAGTCTTGACTCAAGCAGGGATCTCACATGTGCCTCAGGAGCCTGCTCTTCTCACCACCATGCATGGCAGTCACCAGCCTGGGCACGTCTTCCAGCATCTCACGGGCTCCTGGGCCGGTCCATACCAGGGGTACATAAGTGCTGATATACAGGAGAGAACAAGGGACAAGAGAGCCCTGGCCTGGTCAGCAATGTGGCCAGTGTCTATTCATCAGCCTAAGAGACCCTCCCGACTCACTCTCTCTTGATTTACACATAGGGCTACCGGGGCTTGGGATCCCAGCTCCTGGTCATCACAGTATGGATTTGTGGTCATCACATCACAGTGTTCAGAAGAAATAGTCTATTTAGTGATAGCATAACTGTGTATGCTGAATGGAAGTGTAGAGTAAACTTAGGTTTCACCATCTTGGAAAGCTAATGGCATGTTGATGCTCAAGCTGCAGTTTTTTTATATGTGGTGTCTCCACCTTCTACCTAGCAGAGAAAAAAAAACTGCCCTGAGGGAATTAAGGGAAGGGGGGACACCCCAAGCATTTATTTCAGTTGGTCCACAATAAATAGCACGATCTGAGAATGGGTTTCTGTATGAAGGTGTGGAAAAGTCCCAGAATGTCTAGGCCACATGGTGTGCCCACAGCTCAGGAGAGGAAGCTCCCACAGGTGGGAACTCACTGCCTTCAGGACCTGCAGGAGAATGCTGTGAGAAGCCCACCCAAGTACCAAGTGGTGGACAGGTTTTTGGCATCGCTCCCTGTTAGAAGGGCCTCATCTGTGTGTCAGGTCCCTCCCTGGGGCCATGTCAGATCCCGCCCCCACATCATGCCAAGTCTGGGCCACGGCCCACCCTCCCAGAGTCCAACAACTCACACCCCTGGACCCACGGCCCACCCTCCCAGAGTCCAACACCTCACACCCCTGGACTCACAGGTGCTCTGCTGCTGGTTTCTGTGGTCTCTCTGGTTAACAACATTCGGCTTCTGGGGCACTCACTTTATGCAGAAAATGGTGAAAACACATGGCTAAAATGTAGCCCACAGAGCTGAGAGCTTTTCCTGTAAACCTAGCAGTTCCATTACCATTATTGTGGTGTAGTAGGTGTCAATATAAAATTCATTAAGATAGAAGTTCCCACAAACCACAGACATCAACTCCAGTGAAGTTATACTCTAGGTAACAAGCAAGCATTGTGCTTGTCACTGTCATGGTTTGTATTTTCACCCTAATGCTATTGTACTCCCAATCAATGCATTGTTATTGTATAACTAGAACGAAACCTTAAACCAGCATTGTCTCTTTTCTTGTTCAGTGAAGTAACTTCAGCAGAAGAAAGAAATGAACTTCGTATACTCAGTTTCTGCCCCTTTCACTTGACTTCCAGTCTCAGTCAATGCACAAATACAAGCTTTCCCTAGCAGTGATCTGTATGGACAAAATATCTTGTCTTTGCTTTCTCTCGCTTATTTCACGTGCACATTTTCAACATAGTCCACACTCCAGTAATTTTTAATAGTGTCATAGCTGACACATAACAGGAGTTTTCTATATATATTTTTAGCGATCTACCTATGGTCCTGAGACAGTAGATGCCAATGACCACTACATTTCAAGGTGAGACTCATGCCTATCAGTGGCCTTTCTAGAGCCACTTGAAAAAGCCGGAAAGCATCCCCTTTGCAGAACAGAGTAGAATGGTGTGTCTGACTCACAACTAAAAAATCTCAATGCCAAGAAATTGGCAGGCTCTCTGCTCTGATAGGGAGGAAGAAGGGGTTGCTGTATTGGGCTGGCCCCTGTCTATAGCTACGGTCAGGGCTGAAAGTACACAACTGTTTCCCATGGGCCTGAGAGAGCTGTCCTGGATTGTCTCAAATCCTGTTCACAAGGTGACTCCAGCAGAAAGAAACCTTTTGCATTTCCATACAACGTTTTGGAAATAGCTTGTCAATTTCTACACACACACAAAATGTGCTAGAATTTAAATGTGTCTTATTGAGTGAATAGAACAGTTTGGGACCACTTGATACCTTTACAATATTCAATCTTTGATTCATTAACATGGTGTATCCATTTGTTTAAGTCTCTTGTAAATTTTCTTAGGACTGTTTTGTAGTTTTCAGTAAAATGTTCTTGCACATCTTTCATTAGATTTATTCATAGGTGTTTTATATATGTTTGTTGCTACTATATATAGATTCTATTGATTTTTTTGAATGTTGACATATCTAGTGAGTGGCCTTGCTAAAGTCACTTAAATTGTAGTCAGTAAATTCTTCGTATTTTCTTTGGATATAATCATAACCTCTGCAAATGATAGTTTTATTTCTTCCTGTCCAATCTTCACGCCTTCTTTATCTCTTGCCAAATTGCAGTGGCTGGGCAATCGGGCAAGAAAAAAAGGCATCCAGATTGTAAAGAACGAATTAAATCTATATTTGCAGATGGCATGGTCATCTATAGAAAATCTTAAGGAATATACACACACACACACACACCCTATTAAAGCTAATATACCAGTTCAGCAAAATTGCAGGATACAAGGTGGATATATAAATTGTATCGGGTAGGCCTAACTGCAATAGTGATAGTAGGTATACCTGTCTCATTCTTAATCTCAGGAGTGGGCAGAGTTCTCAATATTCACTATTAAGTATGACATTTGCTATAGGACTTTTAATATACTCATGATCATGTATTTTCAATTTGTTAAAAGTTTTCTGTTTACCACAAATTGTTAAATTTTATCAAATAGTTTTTCTGCATCTTTTGAAGTAATCATATTTTTCTCCTTTATTCTTTTAATGTGATGAATTATATTGATTGATTTTTGACACACACACCCCTTTGGTTTCTATTGCAAAAATGTAAGTTTAGGTTTTTGGTTCATAGCAAAATTGAGAGGAAGGTACAGAGATTTCCCACATACCCCTGCCCCTACGTATGCACAGCCTACCCCATTGTCAACACTTCAGTGCTTAATTTCCATTTGATATTTTGTTATAGACTCCAGTTCTTTGATGAAAGTCTTCATTTTGTCAATCACATCAATATCTGGGTCACTGATGGATCAGTTTTATTGTTGATGTATGAATATCCAAACCTGTAAAAAATTTTAATAAAATTTTACTTGAGCCAAATAGAAGTTATTCCTGGAAGCAAGATCTCAACAGACTGAGAAAAATGATTCCTAAAATGACAGTTTGAAGTTTCTTTTATGCATTTGGAAATTAAGGAAGTTTAAACAAAGGTGGGAGAAAGCAAGGCACTGATTAGATTACGGCAGTGGTCCCCAGCCTTTCTGGCACTGGGGGCTGGTGCTCCTTTAAGAATTTAATGCCTGATGATCTGAGATGGAGCTCAGGTAGTGATGCTAGTGCTGGGGAGCAGCTGCAAATACAGATGCTTTGCTCTCTGGCCTGCTGCTCACCTCCTGCTGAGCAGCCAGGTTCCTAACAGGCCACAGACTGGTACCGGTCCATGACTCCGGGGTTGGAGACCCCTGGATTACAGGATAGTTAAGAAGATTATGTGCTCCCTTGAGAGTAGTTATGCCTCTCAGGAGTCTGAAAAAGAGTTACTCTGACATTTCAAAGGTGTGTTAACCTAGATGCACAGAAACAATGGACAAGTCTGGCTTAAGGCAAAGATAAGCCTTTTACTAAAGAAGTTATAGTCCTAAGGCATGACTACCCACCATGACCTTCCCAGTTTGGAATTTATGATCAGTAACCCTGCAAGGTTACTTTCAGTAGAACCCCTTTTTCATCTGCATTCTGTATATGTTCTCCCCCTTTGATCCTGTTTTTTGACATGCTGGATAATTTATTGTTGAATGCTGACCATTATGATAAATTATAGTGGCCTCAGGACACATTATTCCTCTAGAGATGGTTTACTATAGTAAACCTCTGATGGAGTGGAACAGGTAACTTTAACCCAATCTGGTACTGAACTGATTGGAGTTTAGGTTACAATTTTGGTAAGATTCTATCTCTGCCTATGGTTTGCCTCCATTTCTAGAGTATAGTCTTCCAAGGATCCCAAATGAGAATCTGGTGTGTTTACTAGACTTCTTTCCTTGGGGATTCTGAATTCCAAGTTTTATCTCCTTAGTGTTATGTTCTTGCAAAGAAAGAAAAAAAAAGGCCTACTGTATTTCATAGGCTTCCTATATAACTTAATGATTCACAGCTTTATAATTCAGCAAATGATTCAAGGGGAGAAACCCATAAGTGTCAGAATTACTCTTCTCTGTCTCCCTTCTATCTGACATCTTGGCTTTTCCAGTTCCAGCTGCCTTGGCAACCCCAAACTCCAATTTCTTGTCTCTCCAGGTCCAAAGACTCTGCTACCTTTTCTGACTCTTAGCTATGGCCCTCTGCCCAAATGCTCAGTTTCTTAGCTACAATCAGCAAATTTCCTGAAGGGAAAAGTGGTTCACAGAATGTCACCTAACCTCATTGTATTTTCCTTCTTCTGTAATCATAGCCTATCAAATGCTTGTCAAATTGGCAGCCCTCCAATAACTTAAGGAAAAAAAAAAGGTTTTCTGTATTTTATTCAGCTTTTCCAGTTGTTCCTGGCATGAACATCAGTCTGCCTCAAGCAGAAAAATAATTATTTTTCCAGAATTCTTTTCCTAGAAAAAAAATTCTCAGCAAAGAGTGATTTATACAGGGACTTTGATTACACAAATCTTGGGAAAGCTGATGAAGTCAAAAGGGGAGAAGTTGCTTGTATCAATTAGCTAGTTTTACAATAATGTTACAATAATGGTGCATAACAAAACAATCATGACATCTTAGTGTTCTATTAAAATAACCATTTGTTTCTCATATATTGATGATTCAATTGAGTGTGGGCTGATCTAGGTTAAGCAAACAACCTTCAAGCTGTGGGTCTGGCCAGGCTCAGGTCCTCACTCAGGCCTGGTCCGTGTTTGTTCATTCTGAGCACAGGCTAAAGGAGCTACCCAGGGAAAGCTCTTTTCATGGTGAAGGCAGAAGAAA